GAGTCTCCTGCCTCTGCCTCCCAAGTAGCTGGGACTACAGGCGCCCACCACAAAGCCTGGCTGTTTTTTGGTTGTAGCCATCATTGTTGGTTGGCGGGTCCGGGCTGGATTCGAACCCACCAGTTCAGGTGTATGTGGATGGCGCCTTAGCCGCTTGAGCCACAGGCGCCGAGCCAACATGTTGTTTCTTAATAAGTTTAATTAATATAACATCAGGACTTCTTTTCTCCTTGCTCAGGAAATGCTGGTGGATTAGGATCAAAGATGACAGGCCTATGAGAGGTTTAGTTTTTCCATGTGGTCTTGCTGGCTAGATGGAATTGGTGGAATCACTGCACAATAAATTTAAGTGTGCCTTAATCATCCTCTACCAACCTACTGGGTGGCGTGGGGGGCAGCCACTCTGAGAACCAAACCAGGAGGTGTCCCACATATGGAGGCAAGGCCAAAAAGTGATGTGCTTATGTCTCTTGGGAGGAAAGAGAGGGTTTGAGATTTATAATTTATATAAATGAGAAAGGGCTGAATGTTTTTTCTTTTAAAAGATAGCATAAACACATACATAGGGAAAAGAAATTAAAGACCTTGATTACAAAAGTAGATAATGCCTGATAAACTAGGAATTAATTATAGGCTCGACACCTGTAGCTCAGCAGCTAGGGCGCCAGCCACATACACTGGAACTGACAGGTTCAAATCCAACCTGGGCCTGCCAAAAACAATGACAACTACAACCAAAAACTAGCCACATGTTGCGTGGGCTCCTGTAGTCCCAACCACTTGGGAGGCTGAGGCAAGAGAATTGCTTAAGCCCAAGAGTTTGAGGTTGCTGTGAGCTGTGACACCACAGTACTCTACCCAGGGGTACAGCTTATAGGCAGTGCCTGTGGCTCAGTGAGTAGGGCGCCGGCCCCATATACCAAGGGTGGTGGGTTCAAACCCAGCCCTAGCCAAACTGCAACAAAAAAATAGCTGGATGTTGTGACAGGCACCTCTAGTCCCAGCTACTCAGGAGGCTGAGGCAAGAGAATTGCCTAAGTCCAAGAGCTGGAGGTTGCTGTGAGCTGTGACGCTACGGCACTCTACTGAGGGCAACAAAGTGAGACTCTGTCTCTTTAAAAAAAAAAAGTCAAATAACATTGTTAGAGTAACATAAATGAACATGAGTTACCATTCCTATTGGATTACACATTTACAGATTCTTGGAAACCAAAGCTATGTATTTTCTTAATAGCTGATATTTCAGGCTGATAAGAAATTAAGTAAAACATGAAAGTGACAAATGCAGAGGACTTTTGTTTTATGTGCTTCTGGAGATTAAAGCCAGACACATGACACAGGTGGAAGACACCTTGGTTTCATGGGTGGGGGTTTTTTAGTCTTCTACTGTGAACTTTCTTTGATTGCAAGAGACAAAGATCTCAAAGAAAGTGTGGCCACTTTAGAGTGTGGAGTATTGAGTAGTGTTGTGCTTAGGGGACTTAGGGGGCAAAGTTGTGAAAACAGCTCTGCATGAGCTCATGTGACCTCTCCACAAAAGGGGAGCCTTTTGGCAGTGTCTCCTAACCAACTGCTGCTCAGCAAGAGACCAACAGCTGGTTTGAGTTAGATCCCCTGTGCCAAATATTTCATAATCAAATTTGTAGGAAAAAATTCTTCTAGACTTTATATTTTTTAATGTTTGTTTTGGGATTACCAATCTAATTGAATGTGGTAGAATATTCCCTGTTGCTTTTCCCAACACTGTCTTACTTGGATCATATGTGGAGTAACTGAAATGTATTTAACTCTTTCTGAAATAGCTAATGTTTAATTTTAATTGGCACGTTGGTCCTATAGGAATCAGCTCAGTAAAGCAGTCTCAAAGTCTATTTCATGGACCTCTGGAAATCCCCTTTCTAAGGGGTCTGCAAGTTCAAAGCTGTTTTCATAGTAATACTAAGATATTATTTGCTTTTCTTCGACCACTTTGTTGACATTTGCACTGAAAGTGGATAAAATTGCAGGCGCCATAGCATGATGAATTGGGGAAATTGGAAGGACTCTGTATTAATAGTCATTGTATCCTTCCTTACTCAGACTTGGAGGGGAAAATGCCAGTTCAACTTTTTTTTTAATAGTCTTTGGCTCGGCGCCTGTGGCTCAATCGGCTAAGGCGCCAGCCACATACACCTAAGGTGGCGGGTTCGAATCCCCAGCCCCGGCCCGCCAAACAACAATGATGGCTGCAACCAAAAAAATGGCCAGCTCTGTGGTGGGCGCCTATAGTCCCAGCTACTTGGGAGGCTGAGGCAGGAGACTCGCTTGAGCCCAGGAGTTAGAGGTTGCTGTGAGCTGTGCAGCCATGGCACTCTACCCAGGGGGATAGCTTGAGGCTCCGTCTCAAAAAAAAAAAAAAAATAGTCTTTGTATCCTTCCCTACTCAGACTTGCAGGGGGAAATGCCAGTTTAACTTTTTTTTTAAATTGAGACAGAGTCTCGCTGTGCTGCCCTGGGTAGAGTACCAGGGCATCACTGTAGCTTACACCACCCTCAAACTCTTCGATTTGAGTTTAAAGCTATCCTCTTGCCTCAGCCTCTCAAATAGCTGTGAGTAGAGACATGTATCACAACACCCAGCTAGTTTTTCTATTTTTAGTAGAGATGGGGTCTTACTTTTGCTCAGGCTGGTGTCAAACACCTGAGCTCAAAACAGTCACCCACCTTAGCCTTCCAGAGTGCTAGGATTATAGGTATGAACCACTGCAAGTTTTGGGATGGATGTAAGTTTTCAACTCATTTGGGCAAGTATCAGGGAACACAATAGATAGATCATATGATAAGAGTGTGCTTAGTTTTTTTTGTTTGTTTTGTTTTGTTTTTGAGTGTGCTTAGTTTTATAAGAAACTGCGAAATTGATTGGCTCAGCACTTGTAGTTCAAGTGGCCAAGGAGCCAGCCACATACACCAGATCTGGCAGGTTTGAATCCAGCCTGGGCCTCCCAAACAACAATGACAGCTACAGCCAAAAAATAGATGGGCATTGTGGCTGGCACCTGTAGTCTCAGCTACTCGGGAGGCTGAGGCAAGGGAATCACCTGAGCCCAGGATTTGGAGGTTGCTGTGAGCTATGAGGCCACGGCACTCTACCCAGGGCAACAGCTTAAGGCTCTGTCTCAAAAAAAAAAGAAAGAAACTGCCAAATTGTGTACCAAAATGGCTGTACCATTTTGCCTTCCCATCACAATAAATAAGAATTTCTGTTTAGGAGTCCAAGGTGGGCAGTTTGCCTGAGCTCATGAGTCTGAGACCAGCCTGAGCTAGAATGAGACCCACCCACCCCAAACCCCTAACTCTAAAAATAGCCTGGCGATGTGGTAGGCGCCTGTAGGCCCAGCTACTTGGGAGGCTGAGGCGAGAGAATCGCCTAAATCCAAGAGTTCAAGGTTGTAACTAACTATGATGCCAGGGCTCTACCAGGGACAACACAATGACTCAAAAAAAAAAAAAGAAGTTTCTGTTGCTTACATTCTTTTAAGGATTTGTTATTGTCTGTGTTTTAAATGTTAGCCTTCGAAGATTATATTGGGGGCTAAAAAACACATAACGTAAAATTTGCCATTCAAGTATATTAGTGTTTACTGTATGCACATTGTTGTGTAACAGATCTCTTGAACTTTTTCATCTTGCAAAACTGAAACTTTATACCCACTGAACAATAATTCTCCATTTCCTTCTCTCTCCCAACCCCTGGTAACCACATTCTACCTTTTGTGTTTTTTGTTTGTTTGTTTTTTGAGATAGAGTCTAACTTTCTTGCCCCTGGTAGAGTGCTGTGGCGTCATAGCTCACAGCAACCTCAAATCCTTGGGGTCAAGAATTTGACCTCCTCCTGAGTAGCTGGGACTACAGGTGCGTGCTACAA